TCTGTAAATAAATAAAAAATTAAAACCAACAATCGAAATAGAAAGCCTCGTGAGACCAAAACTAGTTACATAAAATATTAAATCACTTGAAAACGTGTTGGGCGAAATTGTTACGTAAAATCAGACATTTTTCTTATAGTAAAAGTTGGAACGTGAGCCAACGGTGGAGCAAAAACTAAAAATGGACTAATTGCTTAATTAGAAACAAAGTTGAACATTCAGGAAATCAACCTCGAATATTGGCCTGGGGAATGCAGATACTCTAAAGTTTGGGACGGCTCGCTCTCATATATAGGCCCAAATAGAGAAGCCGCAAGTTGACTGCTGGTTTTGGATGCAAAATACCACCCCAAAAAGAGCACGCCCTATATTGACACGCTTTGACGTAGAGAAGTTGGATGGGGGAATAAAAACTGTAGTTCGCTATTCTGCACTGACCTCGTATAGGTAAATACCGGCTACTTTAAAATTGAGCGGTGAAATAAAACTACTTTAGTCTGAAAACGTTTGAAATAAGTGCTCTCGTAATGGTTATGTACCTACGTTCAAAGGTGAATTTTGTTGGGGGGAAAAATGTAAAAAAGAATACGTGTATGAGAGTAGTGCTGTCATACAACTGTCAATCAGGGAACTACGAGTGTAGTGACTGGTGACGTGTCGTCGTGCGACAGATAATCCTCGGCGTGCCCTACTACTATTATAAATGCGAAAGTTGCGAGAATGATGGATATTTGTTACATTTTCGCAATACCAATAAAAAACAGATTTGAGATATTATCTGGCATTCAGCAAAAACAATGTTCTTTCGGTTGGTTCGGTGGCTGGGCTGCCGCGCAAAATTTCGCCATAGGTTCGATTCCCGCACGCAGTAACTCTTTGTGTGAACCACAGATTGTTGTTCCGGGTCTCTGTAATGTGTATGTGAACTTGAATATTTGTAAATGCACCCACGACACAGGAGAAAAACTTAGTGTGGGGCAACGTGTAACGACAATAATATAGTGGCAGCGAATTAATCTGGAAATTCTACAATTAATTGATAACAAGTTTATTAAAGAGAAATATCGATTTACGCAGAAATTATCAGTAACCAGTTGTGGTAGATTTAATGGAGCAGTACTATCAAGTACCTACTTATACGTCAATAAGTTCACACAAGTCATGCAAAATATGTATTATTATAATAAGGGGCAGCATAGAACTGCCTACAAACTTTTAATGGACCGACTCGTTGAAATCGAATAAAAATTATGTTTGTTAGTACATTGATCTGTCCCAATTTTCACACACTTTGGAATTATTATTGTTAATCTATTATTGTTATGATAATTACCATAATATAACATAACATCACGCCTTTTTATCCCCGCAGGGGTAGGCAGAGGTGAACATTATGGCACTTAATGCCACTGTACTGAGTCCCATGTAATAGGGGGTGAGCCTAATGCAATATACCACAGTTCCAGATTTCGCTACTACTGAGATTTTAAAAAAAAAACCAGTAATACATTGCTTGACCTGGGAATCGAACACGAAACCCCTTGCCCGGCAGTCGCACTTGCGACCATTTCCAAATTCAATGCTGTTCCATTACATTGGTTCGGAAAGTACCTCAAGCTCAGATTATATTATCAGAGATGGGACAGAGACTCAAACAATAGATATAATTGCATATGCATATTCTTAAACATGTACCTATATACATAAAATATACTAAGCTACAGTGGGCTAGAATTTGTACAATTGAGACAACCCAAATAGAAAATAATATCAGTACCGTATTACTATCTATAAAGGTAAAAATATTTATAGAAAATATTCCATCATTCTAGTACAAATTTATTTGAAATGAAACTATTGTCGATATCTTCTTGTTAGATAAAATTATTGTTTAACAAACTCCGCCCCTACTCCACCTTACAGGTGGCATTATATTACATGGATAAGAAAATATTTCCCTTCTCATAAGGCGACGATATGAAAAAGTGGATACGCTTGACAATCTTCATATTAATTTCCACATTTTCCGAGTAACAACATTGTATGTATTACGGTAACATTTTTTCAAAATTTGTAGGTTCATACAAAACCAAAATTATGTCAAATCTTAAAAAAATTTTAATTTAAAATAGGTACTACTTGATAGAGGGCATTAACCTGAAACCTCTTATTTAGTAGTCTACAGCGTTAATGGTCATTAGATTAGTGAAAAAGAACAGACAGCCTCGGAGTAATTAAAATGAAACTATGAAGCCACCGCTTTACATTTTTGCGAACTAGTTCTGGAAATAACTGGCAACATAGTGAAATTTTTCTCGTTTCCAATCTGTCATAGATTCGAAAATTTGAAATAGATTGAATCGATGCTTAATAACTGGAAGTAGATTAGCCAAGAAGCCGATATTCATTGTACTGAAATCGAATCACCAAGCTTTGACCACCTCCCTCTATATCTATGTACTAAGTGGTATCTGCAACAATGGTCTCAGAAGATCGTTCGAGGCTATCTAGAGAGTTTATTTATAAATGTTGTAATATTGTTACTAAAACTTAATACATAGGAGCTTACCGTACCACGTTATTTAATACAGTATTTTTACCCATCATAAATCCTCTTCCCTATCCAATTATTAAATAGTAGAGAGGTCCAATTCTCTGAAAATTAATTACATTAAAACCTTCGCTTCAATTTAGCTCGACCACTGACAACACGCAGCATACTTTCTGTTAGTAACGCAATTAGCTCTATCAGAAGCTTTTGTTGTCTGCTTTATAGTCTCATCCTGTTTACATTTTTGCCAACTAACGTAGCCATAGAATAGATAAATTGAAAGTGGCCTAGTTAGATCTATAATATACTAGCGCGGGGAGGTCGGAGGAGAGTGCCCGCTTCTATAATAATATATTCATAAGACAGAATTTTACCATCACGGCTGTCAGTGACGTTTTTACGAAAAAAGAACGGGCTCAGGATTTATCGCGTAGATAATTATTATCCGCAGGTACTATCCGTGTTACTTTATAGAGGTCTTTGTTGAAAAATAAATCGCAGTTTTAAAATAGAGTATAGAGGAACAGCGCGGAAAATATTGCTTTTTCCTGATAGGTAAATAAAGCCATAATTCCTAGTAAATTTTTATAAACTTCAATCGCTTCATGGTTTGGTGGGTACGTGACTGCTCTGGGCTATGCTTAACTCGTAAAACGGAGAATACATAGGTAGGATACGTACATATTATGCAAGCAAACTAAATGGAGCAGAGGGGCGAAAAGTTTCAAGAAAAATGTATGGGGTTCTCTTTCATATCTTTTGATGCATCACTGTCGCTTGAGGCTCGGCTGAAAGATCAACAACAATAAAAACTTTTGCCGTCGGCGCTAGCCGCTTTAAAATATATCAGCGTGTATTTTCAGGTTCTGCGTTTTTATGAGCAA